AGTGAGTTTTACAAGAACGTTTATTCAATGGCTTCCATATGTATGTATGTATGTATGTATGTATAAGCATTTTTTCATCAACCCCTATCTACAGCACCGCACTAATTATCGTTAATAAAGAATTCTCGAAACTAAATTCCGTAGCTGAACTTTGATTTCAATCTAGTTTCGTATCACCTTCTTCCTTTTTCTAGAAATATGGGTACAAAATGCAAAATGAATGAATTTGGGTATGACATAGATTCATATAAAGAACATCCAATATCTTGTATCTATAATCAAACTTTGAAAACTCCAAAGTTTGTTGTAAAAAAAATTGTAAAATTGTTCTATCCGTCATTCGGTTGCCCCCTTACGAGCAACCCTCAGAAGTCTTCGAAAGTCTTGTGCGAGCAAGGAATGACGGGGGCCTTACCTTTTAACGTGTGATCCCAAACACTTGTAACATCCCAAACACCTATTTCTCGAACCCTTCTCTCAACTTACTCCAAGGAATTGTAGTTTTTAAGAAAATACTTCAAATAAACACTTTCTTCTCCATATAGCAAAAAAGTTGGGTGACGTTCATATATTTCATATTGAAATGTGGTCATTCATCACTTCATATCACATGAACGATCTTATTCTCGAGTGTACAAGAGCAATAGGAACATAAAAGCAGGTCGAACTGAAAGTATACGTAGAATCCCCACATGATGTGAGAGCAGGCAACACTGTGACCGGCGTTCGCTCTGCGCGTGGCTGGTAGGCCTCTCTGCAGTCTGTCATTTTACGGTTCTGCTGCATTACATTCTGATGAATTCCGATTCTGCCAATGTACGGTTTTGATTTTTTACGATTCTGCTGACGTACAGTTCCTATATTTCACGATTCTGTCGATGTACGGTTCTGAATTTTTACGATTCTGTTATTTTACGGTTCTAACATTTTACTATTCTGCTGAATTACGGTTCTGATAGTTTACGATTCTATCACAATACAGTTTATGACATTACAGTCTGATGAAGTACATTCTGTCATTGTACGTTCTGATATAATATGATTCTGATGGAATACGGTCTGTTGTATTACGAGTCTGTCGATGTACGGTTTTAGCATTTTACGATTCTTTCAATTTACAGTTCTGATATTTTGAGATTCTGTGAATATGCTGTTCTGATTTTTTGCTATTCTGTCAATGTACGGTTCTGACATTTTACTATTCTGTCGATAAACGGTCTGTTGTATTTCGATTCTGACAAAGTACGGTCTGCTAATGTGCGGTATGTCATTCTGCGATTCTGACGAATTACGGTCTGTGTTGTTGTGATTCTGACGAAATATCATTCCGCTGTGATGTTGGTTTGTTAGTTTTCGATTCTGTATATTTGCGGATCTGCGATATTGCTATTATAGAAAAATACACATCTGCGCATTTGCAATCTGTTATTGTCTGGTATGCTCATGTACAGTATACAAAATACGGTTTGAGGGATTGCGGTTCTGTGCATCTACAGTAGGGATAAATACGATTCCTATAAAATATTGTTCTGTTAAGTTACTGGTTTGAAAATGTATATTCTGATGGATTACGGATCTGCGATTTTACATTCTGGTGGTTTGTGTGTTCCCTTTGTTTTTATTACTGTTTTTGAATATTCCCAGGCTTTCACATCCTTCTAATTTTCTAATATCAACTTTTTTGGCTTATTTGAGGTTATTAATGTGTGGGTATGATTGTGAATGAACATTCAGCTGAAAAATGCCTCATCTTGATTTTTCAAGGACCTGTTATACTATTATAACACCACCGTATACACGAAGAAAAATGTATCGTTGTTTTCTTGATATTTATTGAATAACTCGATGGAGATTTGAATTTGATATAGGAAATGCTCAAGAGTAACTTATTCTCTAATTTTATTTTATACCCACGCAACCAGATGACGTTTCAGCAGCGTCTTTTTACGTCAGTTGGATGACCAAGGTGACGTCAGAAATTGACGTCGTATGACGACGTGAATAAGTCACAGCCCAATGACGTCATATTTCTCACTTTTATTGACGTCAGTCAATCTCCTGATGGTGATTTCAATGTTGAAATGACGTCAAAATGACGTTCAAATCAGTTCTGCCAAATCAATCTGAAAATATTTGCGTTGCCGCATCTATAAAAAAGTAGCAGCACACTTTGTTATTTCGTGTATTCATCCTTTATAATATTGCGTTTTCAGATTGTTCCTGAAGAGCTGATTTTATCTGTCGATTTCACTTCGTCGTTCGGGAATTTTTGTGTTGAAACCTTTCATTATTGGTTTTAACGGTTTTGATATCTCTACCTTAATTTTTCATCTACTATCAATTGATATTCAATCAGAACAAATAATAGGTGATCAGAATTTTGAATTATAAACCACCCTGTATTTTTTTCAATTAAATGTCAGTAGCTAGTAAATCGAATGTGGAGATAGGGACAATAATTAATTGTTTTGGACACATAAAATTACCAAATTTGAAATATATAGATTTTTCACACCCCTATATTTCCGCCAGACCCCAATGTGTGATAGATCGGTGAAATCCGCTCTTCAGGGAGATTCCGAAAATACAATAAAATACAGGGTGTTTGATAGAAGCGGCAACGCCGAAGCGTTGAAAATATTCTAGATCGATAAAACAGAACTGATTACCCAAGAAACCAGATTTTCAAAATGATCCCGTTGTCCAGAAACGTTTTGATAGGCCATCGAGTTTGGGACACCCTATATTTATACAAGGTGATTCTAAAATAGGTGGTCAAATTTTGGGAGTATATAGAGTGAGTGAAATAATTACGAAAACCTCAATAACATTTTCTTCTGAAGTGCCCCCCAAGAAAGATACACCCCCCTCAAAGGAAGGCCTCGGAGAATGATTTTGTACAATTATCTCCAACACTGTATGATGAAAATCTGAAATTTTGTTTATGCACTAACTATTCAGTGCTGGTTAAAATCACCTCAAAATTAAATACAGGGGTGTGTTAAAACAAGGAGGTAGGGGATAAAAATAACCCCAACTTTTTTGTTCATCGCAATTTCAATTTTTTTACATGAAATTCTGAAATCTCAGGGCAATCAACATAGAAAAGGAGGTCTTGTTGAATATCCATAAACTGAATCATTAGCGAATAAAATTTATTTTTCCAAGATTTCATTCAAATTGCAATTTTGGTATGCACTTCGAGTTTAATTATCTAGTTCAAATCTTGCAAGTGAATTTTCACCTACTTCTAATCGTCTGATCAACTTGGAATCTGGCAGATGACAGTTGACAACGCGTTATGGACTTTTTGATAGAAAAAAATATGGCGGCTCTAATGTTGCTGACCAGATTTGTGATTATGGTTCGATTCGATTCAAAATTGGTTTGTAAGGGTTTTTGGGGTTGGAAATTTTAAATTCGTTGTCGGAATTGATGAATTTAAAATAGACGACGAGTTTCGTGATTATGGTCTGATCCTATTGAGAATACTAAAATGAAAAATATTGTTAAGAACAAGCTTTTTTAAAATTTTATTCGAGATGCAACAAGAGCACCTTTTTTATGTAAATAGCCCTGAGATTTCATAATTTCATGTCGAAAAACTGAAATTGCGATGAACGAAAAAGTTGGTGTTATTTTTACCCCCTACCTCCCTATTTTGACACACCCCTGTATTTTATTTTGAGGTGATTTCAACCCCATTCGAACCGGCACTGAATAGTAAGTGGATGGACAGAATTTCAGATTTTCATTATACAAGGTGTTGGAGATAATAATACGAAATCATTCTCCGAGGCCCCCCTTTGAGGGGCTGTATCTTTTTTGGGGGTCACTACAGAGGTTTTCGTAACTATTTCACCCACTCTATATGCTCCCAAAGTTTGATCACCTATTTTAGAATCACCTTGTATATACATTACACACAAACACGTTCCAAACTAAAGACAAACATGCCATCCAAGTAACGTTTACTCAACGTCGTAATGATGACGTAATTATCACGTCATAGAAAATACGTCATAGTGACGTCAAAAATTTTTGTGTTACGTCTTTGACGAAAAATCACCAATTGGGTTCGTCATAGTGACGGGATCATTCGTCATCTGGTTGCCTGAGTATGGCATCAGAAAATAGTTGGGGCTATTTGAAGAAGGCAAGTTTTCGCCAATGTTTCATTTGAAAATCACCCGCGCCCATTTGGTACAAATTGGGACTATCGATGATGGGGCATCATGAGTTAGCTTGGAACTATTTTCTACATACACATGTTTACCTAAACTACTACGACGTTATTTATTTTCAGAAGAATCGGAACCTGTTTGACATAAATAAGGTTGTATTAGAATTAGAAGGCCAATCGAGCCTTGTGAAAAAATGTAGGTATCTATTTAAAATTAGTAAATTTGGTGCCAACTTTCTGCACACCCTGTATAGCTGGAGGAATGTCAAAATGTGACGTTTTCGTTGTTTCAACCAATAGCAATGCGTAATTCTATAGCCAATCATTCGGTATTATAGGCGGACAATACTGCATTGTCCTTTATATAAAACCTTGCTTTCATTGAACTGTCAAAATTAATCTGACTCCGGACCAGTGTCTGCCATCTTATTTCTTTAGCATCCTCGCTTGTAGTCAACGCAAATGTATGCCACACACATCACCTCTTCAGAACCATTTGATAGAAGAGGACATTGAGCGTAGAATTAATTTGACTCGTGAAATTTGCTTTTGACTTTTTATCGAATTGGTGAAATCGATTATCTCCCCAAATACAACTGTCCCTCAAATTATATCCAATAATTTTATTTTCATCACTCAAACTATTTTATTTGAGACAAAATCATTCAAAGAACTCGTCCTATGGACTCGTGATTTCATCGATCAGTGTATTTTCATATTTTTGCCAAATAACAAATGTTTGTAGCAAATTGAAAAAATTATGGATAGAATTTGAAGGACCAGTGGTATAACCTTCGATAATTAACTTTTTTTGCAGACAAAAATGAACGATTTGAGAAACAACCGAATACCTCCAATATACAGCAGAGTCAACTACAACTTCCACGAGCTGAACCACAATCAACGCTGGTCTGTGTACAGTTTTTTCGTGAAGCAGTATCTCTCTCACTTGATCGAGGAAAGAGAAAAAATCAACAAAGTCTATCAAGAGAAGTACGTCATTTACATGGAACAACGAGACATGGAGGATGTTAAACTTATGCGAGATAGCCTGGTATGTAAATATACAGGGTGGGCCACCAGTAACGCATCGGTCTCTAGAAGGCTAACCACCCAGACAACACAAGTGAATCCATTGGACAACCAATGGATGTCCAGCTATGGATACCCTGGACATCCATTGGATGGACGGCATTGTCCAGTATTTGTCCAATGGACATCCATTGGATAATACATGTCCAACAGTTTGGACATACATTGGAAGTCCATTGGCTTTCCATTAGACATCTGATGGATTTCCATTGGACATCCAATATTTGTCCTTTCCATTGGAAGTCTATTGGATACTCATCAGACATCCAATGGATTCCCAATGAAGATCCATTGTATGTCCATTACATTTGAAATACCATTGTATACACATCAGAACTCTAATGGATGTCTACCAAAAATCCAACTTATGTCCATTCCAATGATAAGTTTATTGGATACTCATCAGGAATACATTGGATTTCCATTGGATATCCAAATTTTGTCCAGCCAGAACGAAGAAATTAAAAAAAAGTTGTCCTTTGAGGGGATTGAACTCCGGACCCCGCTCTCGTGGATCACAACGCTAACCTCTGGACCACTGAGCTGTTATAAATATTATAGCAAGTATTTCGTATTCACGGTATTTCACATCGAGAGAAAATGCAATTTGCTGAAGTTTAGTGCCGCAATAAAGCTTTTACACGGCCCTTATCAAAAGTGTTACAACAGGGTGATTCATCTTTTTCGAAAGAAACCCGCCGTATAATATTTGCCCATATCGATCTTATTTGCACGGCCTAAATGGTTTAAAATTGAAATTGGATGAAAATCAACTTCAAAATAAGTACCTACCTCTATATAGGTACGTAACCTACAAAAATGATGAGACGTATAAAATCTTGAAAAATAGTACCGAGTGCGAAGTTGTCCGTGATTAATGTTCATATATATATTATATATTATTGGTAAAAATATTTCAATTGAGATAGAAGAGTCATAAATGACACATATATACTTTGCGAAACGATTTCCATTGGATAAGTATGATGGATATCCATTGGCTGTAAAAATTTCGTTGTCCATTGTACAACTACAAAATGGATGTCCATTGTATGTACAAATCTCTATGTCCATTGTACATATACACAATGGATGTCCATTGGACATCCATGGACATCCGGCTACCTAATGGATTCAAAATGGACATCCAATGGATGAATGTGTGTTATCTGGGCACTTATCTTCTTGGAATTCTTCCTCTCTAGGAAGTTGCATGTCAACATAGGCTACCATTTAAAATAATTTCGAAACATACGGGGTGTCCCCAAAAACTATAAAACACTGGAGTTAAACTTTTTTTTATCGAACACCCTATATATTATTTCATTTTGAGATTCTCCCTGATGAGCTGATTTCAACGACCCATAATACTTGGGGTCTAGCAGTTATAATTACTGAAATATAAAGTCGAAGGCCGCAGGTGTAGACGGATTACAAATTGATATGCTACTTTTGTGCTGCCCGCGTATTATTCCCATTTTATTACATTTATTTAATACATGCTTACGGCAGGGAATTTTCCCGGAGCAATGGAAGATTTCTAAAGTTATTCTGCTTCCTAAAAAATCCAACATTTCCAGTTTCAATGATCTCAGGCCCATATCGATTTTACCCGTTCTATCTAAAGTTTTGGAGAAAATAATGAAATTTCAGATTATCTCATACGTTGAAAAATATAACATATTACCTATGAACCAGTCTGGATTCAGGAATGGATATAGCTGCACTACTGCCTTACTGGATGTTACAGATGATATTTTCAGGGATATTGATAGAGGACACTCTGTAGCCCTAATTTTATTAGATTATTCGAAAGCTTTCGATACTATAAATCATGAGTTGTTGTTTGCTATACTACACCACATAGGTTTTTCCCAAATTTCAATTAACTTTCTTAAAAGCTACCTCACAGATCGCGAACAATTCGTTGAAACCAGTCTAGGAAAATCTGATATGAAACAAATTGCTTGTGGAGTGCCTCAAGGCTCCATTCTAGGTCCTTTACTGTTCTCAATTTACACATGTAACATTACCAGTTGTTTAGTTGGATGTAAACCCTTCATGTATGCTGATGATACCCAAATCAAATTCACAATATCTCACGCTGATATTGACTCAACAAATCTTTTAATTAATGAAGAATTATCTAAGCTCATATCATTTTCAGAACAACATCAACTTCAGGTAAACCCATCAAAAACACAAATTTTGATTTTTGGGAAAAATAAATTACAAATCGAGCAAGACATTAATATTGAAATTGCGGGTAATAATATATCTTGCGTCAAAGTTGCTAGAAAGGACCCCGCACATTCAGTACGTAAAATGGCTTTCGGCTAAATTTTCTGAAAATTTGATATGTTTAAGATATTATCGTCCTTATCACACAGTCCAATTTACAGATCGATCCTATGACCAGTTTTCGAGCTACAGGGTGTCAAACATTAGATTTTGGCTGTTTAGAATATTTTGCATCAATTTGAATTATGTGCTCTAAGTCGTGATTATTCTTCAGTAGGAATGAACTCTTCACGTCTAATATCTACCTCATGAATCCCTCTATTCGGTTAGAGGATAATATCACATACAGAGTATTGCATTCCATCATGACAAGGTAATATTCTTGGGAAAAGACAAATATTGAAAACATCAGAATTTTGATTTTTACTCAATCACTGAAAACTTGAAAACAAACGGCTAGAATCGGCCAATTATGTGACACAGTATGGGTCTTGATCATAAACATGAGGATTTATATGATTACCTCTGATACCATGTCCGGTTGGCCATATATAGGGTGATGACAATTTGAAAGCTTATAGAATTGATGTAACTCAGGTACAAAATGAGATACATTTCTATAATATATGAAGTGGAAAATGAAATGTCTCATGAAATAACCCACCCCCACCATGCCCCTGATGAGTCACAACCACCCCAACGCATATCATCTCAATAGTTTTTTCCAAAACAATAGGAATACTGATTACCAATGCAGAAATATTACTCAGCTCCATTCAGATTCCAAAACAGTTTGTAATGCACATAACAATATGCAAAAATAACCGCATGGATGAAATATATATAATATAGTCTTCAAGCAAATATAGATAGTGAACGATCTCTGCTGAATTCCAGCGAAGACCCAAGCAACAATATTTTCGGAAATCGCCATCAACAGTGCGACCCATTATGTACCTACTATCATTCATGGCTTGTGCCTATCAGTTGATCTATAGCAATGCTTGATGTCATATTATGGTATCTGACAACTTGTCTCAATACGACCATCTCGCCAGAATGTGAGCCACAACGTGAAAAATATCTATCAGCAGCTTTTGACAATCATCAAAATACAAATTCTTTTGAGAATTCAAACATAGCGGACATGTCACAGTTTCACAACTTCTATCTTGGAGATGTTCTGCTGGATTGAATGGTCCACAAAGGACACAGCTCCATTCAGAATGGAGCTGTGTCCTTACCGTCTGACCAGCACAGGTTAGGTTAGGTTAGGTTAGGTTAGGTTAGGTTACTAGAACATTCTGTAGATTTTAGTTTTCTCTCGCTTCACTAGCCAACTGTTCACATAAGCAATTTCACTTTCATGGTTATTTATATAATGCTCGATAATAACGATTTTTTCCCATACTACAAAAAGTTACGGAATTAATACGTCACCCCAGCAGAATGATATAGGTGATGAATATTTTGTATTAGTTCACCCAGTTCGAGATATGAATAATACCACTGAAATGTATTTTCACCAAGCTATTCAATGAGGTATCACAATAAGTAGGGGCTACTATTGAGATGATATGCGTTGGGGTGGTTGTGACTCATCAGGGGCTTGGTGGAGGTGGGTTATTTCATGAGACATTTCATTTTCCACTTCATATATTATAGAAATGTATCTCATTTTGTACCTGAGTTACATCAATTCTATAAGCTTTCAAATTGTCATCACCCTATATATGGCCAACCGGACATGGTATCAGAGGTAATCATATGAATCCTCATGTTTATGATCAAGACCCATACTGTGTCACATAATTGGCCGATTCTAGCCGTTTGTTTTCAAGTTTTCAGTGATTGAGTAAAAATCAAAATTCTGATGTTTTCAATATTTGTCTTTTCTCAAGAATATTACCTTGTCATGATGGAATGCAATACTCTGTATGTGATATTATCCTCTAACCGAATAGAGGGATTCATGAGGTAGATATTAGACGTGAAGAGTTCATTCCTACTGAAGAATAATCACGACTCAGAGCACATAATTCAAATTGATGCAAAATATTCTAAACAGCCAAAATCTAATGTTTGACACCCTGTAGCTCGAAAACTGGTCATAGGATCGATCTGTAAATTGGACTGTGTGATAAGGACGATAATGTCTTAAACATATCAAATTTTCAGAAAATTTAGCCGAAAGCCATTTTACGTACTAAATGTGCGGGGTCCTTTAGGTTTGGAGTTAGACACAGACTTGCGGTTCAAAAATCATGTTAGTAAATGCGTGAAACGGGCGTATGCTAACTTGAAAATGTTATATCCCCATCGTCAAGTTTTAGGAAAATCAACGAAGGTTATGCTCACCGAATCATTAGTTCTTTCTCATTTTAACTATTGTGACGCTATTTATGGTCCTTGTTTGGATAATATAGAAATTAATCGGATTCAAAGGGTTCAAAAATCTTGTCTTAGGTATATTTATGGTATAAGAAAATATGAAAGTATCTCACATAAACTGAAAGAAACTAAATGGCTCTGTATGTCTGCTAGGAGAGAATTGCACTCTGCAACCTTATTTCACAAAGTTATTCTTCACAAAACTCCTCCTTATCTTTATAACAAGATAACATTTCGCAGTGATATTCACAATCTGAACACTCGGTTCAGGGGAATAATTTCGCCTCCATCTCATCGAACTACAGTATTCAGGAGGTCCTTCAGTTATAA